AGCTTATATATATATATATATATTTATTTATTTATTTATTAAAAGTGCCACACGCAAATAAAATATCAGTTATGAATATCATGCGATGACATACTTAGATTAACGGGTTTAATTACTATTATTTAGTGGCGGCCTTGGCTAACGTTATTTAATTTAATTTTTAAAAAATAAAACAAAATGGGATTCGTAAGAGATTGCATTTACATAGCATTGATGTCGACTAATGCTAACTTTTTATTTCTATTTTCTTTTGCATTTAATGTACAAGTTAAAATATTAGTTTAAGGAAAATTAAAATTAAGATATAAATTTTAAAATTAAGAATCACGCCAAGCGATGCTTAAATTTTTTGATGAAAAAAAATATGTTTTTAGTTTTATTTTTGATTCTTTTAATTTGAAAATATTTCATTTTTGTTATCAAAATGGTTTATATAAATAACACGTCATAACATTTTTTAAGCGTTATATATGAAGACCAAGATTAAAAGTGGCATATTTTTAAATTAGAGGAACCAAATAGAATAAAATAATTTAGAGATTAAAAATGAACTTGGGAAATTTTAGAGAGACTAAAAATATATATTATCTTTTTTGAAATAAATAGATAATCAGGTCATGATTAAATTCAACTTAATTATATATACAATTTAAAACATTAAGGGGTGTATATATTGTACTAAAATTTTAAAAGATTATTTTTTTTGCATAAAAAATCTTACAGATTTTAAAAACTATATAAAAATATAGTAACTTAAATTTTTTTTAAATACTTTTATAATAAGATAGTGTAATTTAGATTTTAATGAATTTTTGTTGTAAGATTTGAAAATTTGTTATGATTTTATAAGATTTGGAAGGATTTTAAACATTTATAGCAAACACTTAAAGTTATAAAAGTAAATAAAAATAATATAAAAGTTAAATAAATAAAAATAAAAACAATATAATTTTTAATAGATAATAATTTATTTATTTTCTTGCCAAACAGATGTGGAGTCTCACTTCCATTGGGAGACGAACAACCACAACAGAAGGTACATGTTGAATTTGTAGCAAACATACTTTTTGGTGCAGATAAAACATTGTTAAATTTAATTAAGACATTATCAATGTTCAATATTTTCTTCTTTTAAGGTACATTTATATATTACTTATGTAAATAAACGAAAAAAAAATTCTTCAGTTGTGTTTATATAAAGAATTTGAAATGTTTGGATTATTTTGCTTTAAATGTCCTTAATTTTTTTTTATAAATATTTTGATTGTGTAAATTAATTAAAATTTCTTAAATTTTGACTCAATTTAGACAAATAAATGCAAAACTTATTTCTAGATTTATTTTTAAAATTTTAAAATTTGATATTGAATTTTGTTGAAAATAAATATTGGTCAAATTTTAGATATTCAATAAATTTAATAATATATTATATTTAATAGTACAAAATATTTTAAATATTTAATTATTTAAAAATACAAATATTAATATTGATAATGGAAAGAAATAAGAGAGATCGAAGGGAGAGAGATGTGAGAGGAAAAGAGAGAGAAGGAATGTTAAAGGCTATATGGAGAAAGAGAAGATAAAGTTGCGAGAAAAACTATCGAGGAATAAAAAGTGAGAAGTAAAATTAAACGAAGAGAGAAAAAAAACAATACACAAAATATCAAGAGTTTCAATGAAATTATGAAACGAGTTTAATGCTCATAAAGTCTAAAAAAAAAACTTACAAAATTTATTAAAATTAATCTTTACATATTAAACACAAATTTTTATCTTGTATAATAATATTTTTTAATATTTTATTTAATTTAATTTTTATTTATCATAATATTATACTATAATATAAATTATTTATCATAAATCTTAAATATAATTT